TAATTGCACGTTTCGAAACGTGAGGGGAGGGGTGGGGAGAATTTTTCGTGTGCCGGCGAACCCGGTTCCCGCAAAAACGATGTTCCGTCTGGTGGAAGCCGTTCCTTTTTGCTCGAGCCCGGCCCCAGAACCACTTCCTCTTCCTTTTCGGGAGCAAGACACGCCTCTCTCGAAAGGAAGAGAGAGAAAGAAAGAAAGAAAGGGCCTCCTTAAGGGCCGCCAGAACGAAAAGTTGCCTTTTTTCCTTCCAGATAGTTCTTCCTCGCGATCGTGTATTTATAAGTTAACCTCTTGATACGGGGGTGATCTTGATGGGACGTGGACTAGCAAGTTTCTCAGGAGCTGTGAGTTAATATACTTCGTTAATGAAGGAATATCGATATGTGTAGTTTATATTTTGGGTAAGGAATGGAAATTGAAACGTAAATGTAGAAAAATGTGAACGATATGTGAATGCGTAGAGATATAGAGAATGTTACTAGGATATAGGGATAAAAATAGTATATGTCCCTATGAATTTAGAGATATATAAAAAAATAGGGATATAGTGATATAGGAGAATAGATTACAAGATGATACAAAGTATAGAAATATATATATAAATATAGGAATATAATGATGATTAAGGATGATAAATAGGAATATAAAGATATAAAATAAAATGATACAGTAGAACCGAAAAAAAAGGATCTTCGAAAATATTATCGGAAATACGTATCGATTAATTAATTTCCGCAAGAGGCTCGAAACATGAAAACGTTTATCTTTATTTCCGCGAGCAAGCTCGCGTGAAAGCAACACCGGCGCACACGCGAGAAAGGATGATTCATCGGAGTTAGCCTGTTGCAGACGGATCGACCTCTTTTCCTCGATGCACCGGTGTAGTAGCCGGTGTACAGGCGCACGTATCCAACTCGTGTGTACAGGTATATCATGGCCCCTTTGGATGGTGTTAGTGCGCGCAACGACCTCTTTCCTCGCTACCGCAAACCGCAGGCGCAACCCAATTTTTGCCCCGAAAAAAGAACCGGTAGAACCTGAGTGTCCCTCGTCTCGCCGCTGGACACCATCTGCGTAAAGGAGTTTTTTTTCTTATGGCCACGTAAGATCGAATTCGAGACGTTGGGTTACCATTTTTGATCGATATAGTTGATTGTTAATTCGATTTGATGTTGCAACAGAAAGGGAGATAAGATTGTTTTAAGGTTAGGTTTGAAATTTGAATATTTCTCTTATTTTTATTTTTCTATATTTTGCAGAATCTTAGAAGAGATCTTTTTGAAAATTATTTTTTAGAAGTTAATGCGCGAGTACAATGAACCTGGTTGATTCGTTCAGCTGATTTTTTCCAACGTAAAACGCTTCCCCGTGAACGAGACTTTACACGGCATTGACCGCGCGTGGTAACACCCAAATAGCGATAGTCTCGAGTTGCTCATGATCAAAACAATTTTATTCACTTATCCTTCAAATTTTCAGTTTATCATATTTATCTTTCTTTCATTTAATAATGCATACTTTCCTTTGAATTTATAAATTCGTATTTTTGAATGATTTTTATTATATTCAAAAAAATAATGCACTCAAAAATTGAAAAGGTGAGCATTCAGCTACTCTCGAAGCTCGCGTGTACACTCGTTTCTTCTTTTTCTCTTCTTTCTCCCTTCGCTGTTCCAACGATCCGTCTTAATATTCGATCCAACGTTTCGTATCTCGGAGGTCGGCGGTTTTCGCTTCCACGACCACAACCGCGTTGCACTTGTACTTATATAGGGATACGCTACTTTACTCTTCGCGGTTGACGTGCTCGCAAAATTTATACGGGCTTGCCTGTTAATTAACGTCAATGAAACGACCGGGTCGCGGCATTTCGATAAAAAAGTGCTGATCGATAAAGAACGACTACGGACCACGTGAAATACAAGACTTATTGATGATTTCTGGTGTTTTTCTGTGTTTGTTCCGAAGAATATATATTTTTTCTTTCGATGAAAAAAATTGTGAATTATAGTAAATATTATTTAAAAATTAGTTATTTTTCTTTAGTGATTTTTTTATCTTCAAAAACAATTTAACATTTAGTGAAATATATTTTCATTTTTAATAAGTGTTTGTATTGACCTCATAAATGCGTCAATGTTCACCTGATTTCCGTTCTCGTGCTATTAATATTCGTGAGGTGAGTATGGCGTGTTTCATTTGACGATATACCGTCTTAAGTATTATTCGAAATTAACTTTATTAAATATTAATATTCATAACACGATTCTAATATCCTTCCTTTAAAAAAAAATGTGCGCTACAACGATCAAGTTTTACCAAGTCGATTAGCATCAATTTTATTCGTGATAATATTCGCGAAGTCAAAATTTCATTCTATTAATAAAAAATATATAACGCATTGAAAAAAGAATAATTTTAATACCTTAAATCATTTCCATAAATTCGATTTTATTTAACGATTGGAAACAAAAAAGAAGCAATTTCAAATTCTTCCGTTTCTTATCACATTCCACGAGCGAACGATCTATCCACCAGACAGAGGAGGCGCGAGAGATTGAAAGAGCGATTGCGATTCGAAGCGTCTGCGTGACACGGTGTCTCATTATTTGCGACTGAAGGAGGAGGAATCAGTTGTCGGGACACGTATTAGCCGCCGTACGTGGCGACATCCGCTAATCAAATACAAGTGTTCGTCAGCAGTCCCGTATTATAGAGACGTAGACGTAGCGAAGTCTGTTTCCGAGCTCTGATAGCCGCGATAAATACGCGTTTAAGCGCTCTATAATTGTTGTCGCGTGCGTTGCATTTTTAAACTTTGCCGCCATTCGTTGCCCTATCCAAGGAACCGACGAAACACGACTTTTCACGAAGATAGTCGAATCTTTTTGTTTCATATTTCGATACAAATATCGATATAAGGATTGAAGAAGAAAGATGTAAAAAATTTCTTTTGCGACAAGTGATTGTTTTTCTTCACAATTTTAATCTTTTTTTCAAAATATTCAATAGCAAGTGACGAATTATTTACACATTGAATAAATTCACGTTTGCACTCGTTTTCGGTTAATTGATACATTCAAATTCACCTGAATAGAGGTATGTTTTCAGAAGTCTAAAATTACATTTGGTTAATGTTTGTGAATTTGTTCGATTCTTTTGAATGTTGAAAGATATTTATTTTAAAGAAATTTTAAAGACAAATGATGATCATTAAAAATTCCCTAGGCGCGTATAATTTCGTAGGAAAAGAATATGATTGGCCGACACAGAGAATATACAACCAAGCTGACCGATCATGGGCCATGGATGGTCGTTGGGTCGGTTGAGTAGACCGTTGTAACAGTACCTCACGTGCCATAGAGATCCCATAACCGGCTGCGCGTAAAAAAATACGCTTCGGTGCAATCGGTCAGTTGGGATGCAACCGAAGCGAAGAGCATAGTCGAGCAACTGTGAAAATAAGTGTATAATTTCTCTCTCACATTCTTAATTCAAAGTTTCTTTTACAGAATTATAATGAATTATAATTTTAAAGTAAATTAATTTTTTCGATAATTTTTACGATATTTCTTCAAATGAAGGTACGAAATGAAACTTAATTAATAAAAATTTATTTTAAAAATGGAAATAACTAACAATTATTCGATATTCATTAAAATTTTTAGATTTGATGACAAGATAAATTTGATAATTTTCTAAACGTTTTCTCTAATAAAAATTCCTTAAAAAAAAAAAGAACTAAACTAATAATATTTCTACTACTTGAAAACTGCATCTCGATAAAAAATTCTTGGACTTCAAAAGAAAATTATCTTCTAAAATTATTTCTGCTTTTTATTCAAATGAACCAAGATCCAATCATATTATTGATTGAAAACTGCAAGTTTGACAGATGTTGGAAAATTCTGAGATGGGCTCCAAAAGAAAAGCAAAGGATTTGGGAAAAGTATCGGTCCTAAACTCAAGAAAAAGAAAAAGAAGGAGGAGAAGGAGGAGGAAAGAAATGGAGGGAGGATAGCAGCTGGTCAAACAACTCTGAAGCCACTCGGGGCCCGGATCTTCCAGAGATCCTCGGTTGCACGTACGAGGTTACACGCGAGGGGCCCCTCCTCGTCCTCGCGCACGACCTCGAAGTTTTAATTACTCGCCAGGGTATCATCCCCCTGCCAGGCCTCGTACGAGGTCATCGTACGAGGATCGCCTCTAAGAAATCGGGGGACGAGGATGGGGAGACATGTCCCGATTCCTCCGCCTCGGGGAAGGAACACGATGATAGCTTGTTCAAATTGCCAGTCTTTTCCTTTTTTTCTTTGTTTTTAATCCTTGTTGCCTGATTATTGAAACCTTGATCCTCTTCCTCCGGGGGAAGTTGTTCTTTTTTATATTTTCGTTTTTTGCCTTTTCCATTTTTTTTTTTTTTTTTTTTTTAATAAGAATGGAATAATTTTTGATTCATAGTCAGAATTATTATTTGTTACAAGTGAAAGATTTGTACATTTCGAAAAAATTGTTTCGAATTTTACCTTTTTTTACCAAAAGAAAAAAACCTTCAGATTTCGAGTTTTCTCTTTCAAAGAAAAATAGAAAGAGATTAATCGTCGATCCAAAAATTCATCAATTCCTGAAATTCTCTCTTCTTTATATATAATGATAAAAAAAAGGAAAGGGGGAAAAAAAGGAAACGTGCAAACGAGCACCGCTTGCTGTTTGCAAATGAAACACGCCCACGATCTTCTCGGGGCATGCGTGCTTAGCCGCGTAAACGTGTGACTCGCGGTTGATCTAAACGATCGTGAATCACCGACCCACCTTGGGGGTTGCAGGGAACACGGAGAACGTCCAGGTATCGTAATTTCTCCCTTCGTTTCATATATTACGTGAAACGATGCTCGACGACTCGAGCCGTAGATCCGTATATTTTTTCTCGTCTCACGTAATTTCCAAGTTAAATAGAAATTCTATTGTATTTGTCTACATATATTAATTTCTTGATACAAAAAGAATAATATAAAATAATTCAATTAATTGACCAATTGATTATTATTGAAGATTATTTTATTGTATACAAAAATCCCTATATTTATATATAAAATTCCCTATACTTATATATTACTTTGTACAAATCAAAATAGTATAATAACATCAAAAGAAAAAATATTCGTATCACTGTGAATTGTACTTTCATTTATAACTCTGTAATTGTGTTACTACTGAACCAAAACTTTATAGGGCACCACTGTTGGCCAGATGGAGAAGAAGAGAGACCATGATACAAAGATGGAAGCTTAATATAATAATACCAACATAAAATTCATTCCCTATACATTACTTTGTCCAATGTACAAATCAAAATAATATAACAGCAAAAGAAAAAATATTCGTATCACTGTGAATTGTACTTTCATTTATAACTCTGTAATTGTGTTACTACTGAACCAAAACTTTATAGGGCACCACTGTTGGCCAGATGGAGAAGAAGAGCGACCATGATACAAAGATGGAAGCTTAATATAATAACATCAACGAAAAGTCGTATCACTGTGAATTGCACTTTGAATGATAAATAGTTAAGCAAATCTAAGGAAGAGGAAAACTCTTATCCAACTATTACAACATTGGATACAAAAATTTATGCACGAGGATGAAAGATCGATCTATAGGGCGAAATTGTGGCCAGAAGAAGAGAGAATAACAGGGTAGAGTATCGAGTGCAACCGAGTTTGATGGTGGTGGTGTTGGTAGGCGGATGACGAGAGTGGTGCTGGTGATAGTGGTGGTGGTGGGCCGTCACGCCACATAGTGTGATAGCGGCGCATTAAACGGCCAACCCTGCACCCTTGGCCCAACCTACAAGCTCGAGTCCCGGAACCTGTGAGATTCGAGATCGAGATTGAACTCCACCAGGGATTCAGAGGATCTCTGGTCGCACAGAGGAGCTTGACTGATTCGTTTCACCTCCTCCTTTTTTTTTTTATTTCTCGTGACACTTTACAATGAATAATTGAACTCTGTTAACTTTGAATCAGCAAGATAAAATCTGTATGGAACAGAGAGCTTTTCTTTTGAAAATTTGAAAGAATAAATATCATCTTCTAATGTTCTAAATTAAGATTCTTTTGTTCAATAATTTCTTTTAAACTTTTAAACACAGCAGGTATCCTTTTGTTTATCATAAGATTAAAAATTTCTTATTCTTCTTTTGAAATAATTTTCAGATCCAATAAAATCTCCATTATTCATTTATTTACCATATCTTCAATTTACATTCTCAGAATTAAAACCAAATGAAAATTGAATAATTTAACAACAAACATTGGATATATTTTTGTACACAAGGATTTTAACAAAGGTTAAAAGGATTGATTTTAAAATGTGCATCTCCATTATTTATCATATTTAAACACCCTCAGGTACTCTTAAACTATCCTTTTCTTATTTGCCATAAAGTTAACAATATCTTATCCATCCTTTCAAATAATTTTCAGGTCCAAATCTCCATCATTCTCCATATATTTACTATCTATTTTCACAGATGATTTACAATCTTACATGATTACTGAAAACCAAATTAAAATTGAATAATTTAGCAACAAAGATTGAAAGGATTAATTTTAAAATGTGTATCTCCATTATTTATCATATTTAAATACCCTCAGGTACTCTTAAACTATCCTTTTCTTATTTGCCATAAAGTTAAATTTCTTATCCATCCTTTCAAATAATTTTCAGATCCAATTTTAAATCTCCATCATTTGCTATATATGTCTATCTTCACAGATGATTTGCAATCTCACAGATGATTACTGAAAACCAAATTAAAATTGAATAATTTAACAACAAAGGTTGAAAGGATTAATTTTAAAATGTGCACCTCCATTATTTATCATATTTAAACACTCTCAGGTATTTTTAAACTATCCTTTTCTTATTTGCCATAAAATTAACAATTTCTTACCCATCCTTTCATATAAATAATTTTCAGATCCAATTTTAAATCTCCATCATTTGCCATATATGTCTATCTTCACAGATGATTTGCAATCTCACAGATGATTACTGAAAACCAAATTAAAATTGAATAATTTAACAATAAAGGTTAAAAGGATTAATTTTAAAATATGCACCTCTATTATTTAAACATCCTCAGGTACTCTTAAATTATCCTTTTCTTACTTGCCATAAAATTAACAAGTTCTTATCCATCCTTTCAAATAATTTTCAGATCCAATTTTAAATCTCTATCATTCGCCATATATTTACCGTCCATCTTCAATTTACAATCTCACAGATGATTACTGAAAACCAAATTAAAATTTGGTTTTGGAATAATTTAACAACAAACAATTGGATATATTTTCGGATACGCAAGGATTTGAACGACGGTTAAAAGGATTAATTTTAAAATACCGTGTGTGCTGGTCTTTTATCCGCGAGAAAGCATGGAAGTCGTCGCTTGGCGTGCTAACACCCTCGCAGGGCGCGGCTCAATCAATTATTGTGGCGAGGGTGCGGTCGTCCCTGCGCGAGTTCCAGCCCCTGGCATGGCAACAACCCTATGGCGAATCTCTCTCTTTCGTTCCTTTTCTTCTTTTCCACATTAAGTTCCACCTTTTAAAGATGGAAACTCGAGAATTGGTCGAATAATTGAAAAGGAACGACGATTAACCGTACAATTACAAAGCTCTTCTCTTTCTTCTTTTTCTTTTTTATAATATCTGTCTATCCTGATTCTTGTTACAACGAGTAACCAGTTGATCGATTTTGTCTTCCCTTGGCAAAGTTTCAAACTATCGATCATGGTTGTTAACCCTCGAGTCTCAGGTAATTATTATTTTAAGCCTTCTTTTTTTTTTTTTTTTTTTTTATAATAAGGTAGTACGTTAATACCATACTTTTTTCTTATATTTAACGGGAGGTATTTATTTAAGGTCCCCTGCACGAATTAAATTTTTAACCAAATTGGCTGCTTTGATCTTCCTTATGATTTTATTTAAAAAGAAAAAATTGCATGGTCAATTATCCTCAAGTCTTCCTTTTATTCTTGAGAAATATTTTACAACTTATTGCAATTTCCTTGTTGGCGACAATTTGAAATTTGTATATTTTGGTGCAAAGAGTATCAATGTATGTATTTATGAAGTTGAGATATTAATATTTAAAGATATATATTTATATATATATTTACATATTTAACTATAATAATAATCACATGATTATTATTTTTGCAAATTTATTCTTGAAAGAAATCAATTGAGTTTGTATAAATCAGTTGTATATATAATTTTTTTCAAGAATAAATTTGTAAAAATGTTATTGTTGTTATTAATTGAATTTAAAATAGATACGCTATTTCCAAGTGTCACGGTTAAATTAAGATGCGAATGGGGTGGTGGAGGATCGAGAATCGAGGATCGGGATTCCTCCTCGATCGATTATTTTTACTCCAGATTGGCGGTGGTGGATACCGCTTCCTCGTAGCCAGTCGTCGGTGCGAGACGTAAGTTTATTTATGCGTCATCGGTGTTAACACGATTTCCACGGGCCTGTGTCGTACGAATAAGAGGAAGGAGAAGGAGAAGAAGAAAAGAAGAAAAAAAAAATCACTTTAAAATACGAGACAAATGATGTCTTTTTACCCTGCGCGAGGAAGGGAGCGCAGCGATTTATTTGCGTTGTTCCGAGAACCCACCACGACGTGGCATACTTTCGTAATCTCTTTTTTTACGACTCTTTAACGATTTTTTAATCATTTCTTTTTTTTTTTATTTATTTCCTCTTAACAATCTTTTTTTCCCCACTTCGCCATTTTTTCAATCATCTTCATCCCATTTCTCAAGAGAGAAGACGAGTTTAATTGATTTTGAAAAAGATTAAGATTAAATTTCAATACAGGTGTCTTCTAAGGTTAAGAGAATATTAGAAAGAAAGTTTATTTTTTAATCCTTAAATCTCGAGAATTTTATTCTCAAATATATGAACGTAGATATATTGAC